TATACTATGAGGCGAGGTGGCGCAGTGGTTAGGGTGCAGTACTGCAGGCCACTTCAGCTGACTGCTATCTGCAGTTCAGTGGTTCAAATCTCACCGGCTCAGGGTTGACTCAGCCTTCCATCCTTCCGAGGTGGGTAAAATGAGGACCCGGATTGTTGGGGGCGATATGCTGACTCTGTAAACTGTTTAGAGAGGGCTGAAAGCCCTATGAAGCGGTATATAAGTCTAACTGCTATTGCTATTGCTATAAGGTCTTATTTTCAGGGAAACAGGGTAACATCTGGCTTGATGTTTATTTGCTCCTGACTCCTGCTATGTCTTCAACCTTGTCATGTTCTTGACCAAGTTTCTGGTCCTTCCTTTGGCACTGCAGTGACATGACTGGTGATATTTTCTCCTCACTTGGAAGACAGAGAGCAGCAAAACCAAAAGGGAAAGTACAGCATATACTGGTAGTCCTCGACATATGAACACAATTGAGCCCAACATTTTTATTGTGAAGTGAGACATTTATGAAGTGAATCACTGTAGTTGATAAATTTAGTAATCTGGTTTTTTAAGTGAATCTAGCTTCCCTATTGACTTGCTTGTCAGATCCAATGACCTTGGGACACAGTAATGGTCATAAGTATGAGCCAGTTGCCAAGCATCTGAATTTTGATCATGGAGATGCTGGAAAGGTTGCAACTGTGAAAAACGGTCATGGGTCATTTTTTCCCCCAGTGTTCGTAACTTTGAATGGCCACTAAACGAACTGTTGTAATTTGAGGACTACCTGGATAGGCTGCAAAATTCTGAATGACCTCTAGATGGCAGCCAACCATCTGAATTTTCTATATCGTTCTGCAGTGTCTAGTTCTCATCTGGATTTTTTACATTCCAGTTACGGTACTCTATAGTAGCACTATATAGAATAGCTCTGCCTATCCATGCTGAACTTTCATTTCCAGAACAGCATCGTCTTGCAGTGATTTGGAACAGATGTAATTGAGGCAGAGCAGCGATCGACAATGGAAGTAGCAAATTTCATGCTGGGATAGTTTTCTGACAACTCAGGAATGGGTAGATAGCACTGTAACCCAGAAGTGGGAAAAAGGCCGAGAGACGTTCTGTAGGGGAAATAATATGGCTGTAAGAGGCTGTTCAGGGAGTCAGAAAGAAGTGAGAGAGCGATCAAATCGAAAAGAAAAGAAAAAGTCAGGCTAAGTGAGAGGAATCTGCTTCTTTCTACTTGCTGGAGTACTCGGAGCTAATATTCTGGCAACTCTCTTTTTGCTACAAGAAGTTCTGCTTGAAAATTGTGAACTAGTGCACTGAATCTTAAAAGCAGAGTCTCCTTTCAGCTAACAAGGGATGACCGTCGTGATCCATTATTGCTCTTTGAGAAGAGAAGAGCAACCAGCAACTTACATTGCCAACTTCAAGGTCTATTGAAGAAGAGAAGGTGTGGGATGTGCATATCTGAAAAGGATGGATCTTTGTCCCGTTGGAGGCCAATTGTGTAATGTAACTGTAGGGAAACAGCATTTCTTATGCACACATGTAATGGATCAATAATCTGAATTAATATAATCATAAGGCTTTGAAATATTATGGGTGTTCTGTAAAGAATTCAAACATTGCACAAAGTGTATAGTTCTGTGGAAAGAAATGTCCATCTGGGTCAGTGGTGGGTTTCAAATTTTTTTAGAACCTCTTCTGTAGATGTGGCCTGCCTTGTGGGAGTGGCTTGCTGGCCATGTGACTGGGTGGGAGTGGCTTGCCAGCCATGTGACTGGGTGGGTGTGGCCAACTTGTAAAATGTGGTGAAACTCACTTAACAACGCTCTTGCTTAGCAACCAAAATGTTGGCANTTTGTTGTTCTTCTCTGCACTCTTTCTAGAGTCTCCACATCTTTTCTACATTGTGGTGACCAAAACTGAATGCAGTTTTCCAAGTGTGGCCTTACCAAGGCATTATAAAGTGGTATTAACACGTCATGTGATCTTGATTCTATCCCTCTGTTTATGCAGCCTAGAAATCTAAAATGGCTTTGCCCGAAACTCACTTCTGCTTTCAAAAACTGCCCCATAGTGAAAAATGGATTTGCTTAATGATTGCAAAGTTCACTTAATAATGATCAGATTCAGTTTACGACCATTGCATTTGCTTAACAAACACATCCCCAAAAGTTATAAAATTAGGGCTGGTTATATGGTGATCCACTTTATCACTTAATGAACCTTAATTGCAGGGCTCAATTGCAATAGAAACTCAAGGACTGCCTGTATTAATTGTTTATTGTATATTTCCACACAATCTAAACGAGATAATGTGAGAGCCAGTTTGGTCTAGTGGTTAGGACACCAGGCTGGAAAGGGGGGGGGAACCATGAGTTCAAGTCCACCTGAACCATGAAAGTTAGCTGGTGACTTTGGGCTAGTCACACTCTCTCAGCCCAACCCACCTCACAGGGTGATTGTTTGGGAAAAATAGGAGGAAGAAATGTTGGATATGTTCACTGCCTTGAGTTATTTGTAAAAATAATAAAGGCAGGATGCAAACTAGCAAACAAATAAATCAAAGCTATTTTGGGAGATGTATTTAATGACAAAGCAAATCACCAAACCAATAATCGCAAAACTTGGATTTTAATGGTTTTAGTAAGACAGGATGTATGCAGAATTCTGTGCCTACCAAAACTGCACACATTTTAAAAATAATGCCAATCTACATCGCTTTAAATTAAAATTGTACTATATACTTTCATTTTAAATGAAATTTAATAATTTCTTTGCTCATTTATGATGACATGTTTTTGCTGTTTTCATTTTATAACCCTGTGCTTATGACTATAATCAAGTTTTAGTGCAAGTTTTCTTGAGAGAGAGCTGTGAGCCATTTAGACGGCATAGGAATGAATCAATACTTTTTTTGCCAGTGCGATTTTTACATGAGAAACCCTGTATTTTTGGTCTTTTATGTTTCCTCAAATTCCTCAAGAGCCATGACCTTTTTCTGGATTGATTCATATAAAATGAATGTATTCACTGTAGTCTTCTGGCAAAGTTTATCGAGTCAGACATTTTGCCTGATCCATGTGATCAAATTAACAAAAGGTTGCCTTTTCCACATGCTCCTATCTTATGTTCATCTCTGACATTTTAGACTAGGCTAGAGTTCATTTGCATTTGTATAGCCAAGGATTCACAGTCTGAAACTATTAAACCTAATTTTCTGGCCCTTTGATAAATATTTGCAGACTTTTATGGTTCTGGTAATAAAACTGTTCACCTCTAGATCGCCTTGTCCCCATGGGATGAGATAAAAGGATAAGAACGCTTAGAAGGAATTAAACTGTGAATGGTTAGGCAGAAAACATGTTTTTAACCAGGGTTTTCAACCTCGGCAACTTTAAGATGTGTAGAGTCTAACTTGCAAAATTCCCTGGCTGGCTGTGGAAGATGAAGTTCATATATTTTAAAATTGCTGAAATTGAGGAAACACTGATTTAAACTCAATGTTTTTGGTTCAAAAGTTTTATTTCTTTTAAAACAAACATTTCATCATTAATGTTTTTTATTTATTTGTTTAAAAGACATCTATGGCTGCTCATCTTAAGCAACTTAGGGTGGCTCAAAGCTATAAATCTATATAATATAAATCTTGAAAACAAATAGGTTTTTCTAATCTGGGATTTTATCATCAAAATACTATGTTTGCATACGATGCTAATTATGACCTAATCGAATTTCCTGGGTTTACACATCACAATGAATCATAAACCAACTTTATCTCAACTCAACCGGTGATGATTTATACTTGCCTACTTCACACAACTTATAACCTAAATGGTTTGGTTTTCTTAATAAACTCCACAGATCATCCTTATACTTAGAAACTATTTTTAGCTTAGCACATCCTACAAACCCAGCCTCTTGCAACTGAT